TTCCTGGCCAGTTGAGCCAACGCAGCGAGTGATATGACGGGGCACACCTGAGGTGGATTAGCACCGAACTTTCGACGGTGGGACAAGCGCTGGTACGCAAGCACGCCCCATCTTCACAAAGAGTTTCCCTTGAGTGCTCCAAAACAGTGTTTTGGATGTGTTGATGTTCGCCGCCAGACTTGGGAAAGTCTCTGTGCACGATCAATGCATGCACCTGCTGCCGTCACAGTTCCTGCTTGTGGTAGGATGGTGCACTCGTAGCTCGTTTCGTCTCTTTTGTTTCTGTGTGGTATTGCTTCTGCACCCCTGGGACATGTGAGCGTAGCTTCCTATGTTGTGTCTTCTGCGCTATCGCGAAATCATCAAACTGCTGAACCGCAAACGCGTGCCCAGAGTGGATGGTGTTTATGATGATGACGAGGAGGAGGATCGATTCTGATGATGGTGATGATGACGACGACGATGATGATGCTGATGATGATTATAATGATGATGATGATGATGATGATGATGATGATGATGATGATGATGATGATGATGATGATGATTCTGCCGCTGCTGATGATGGTGCTGATGACAATGATGCTGATATTGATGATGGTGGTTATGCTGATGCTGCTGCTGATGATAATGAGGATGCTGTAGATGATGATGCGCATGCTGATATTGTTGTTGATGGTGGTAGTGGAGGATGATGGTGGTAGTGGAGGATGATGATGCTGCTGCTGGCGAGGATTGTGATGCTGCTGCTGATGAAGATGATCACGATGATGATATTGATGATGATGGTGATGATGATGACGACGGGGCGACGGGGAGGATGATGAAGACAAATATGCTGATGACGACGATGCTGCTGCTGATGATGGTGGTGGTGGAGGTGATGACGGTGATGCTGTTGATGATGATGACGACGATGATGATGTTGCTGCCGATGATGATTATGACTATGATCATGATGCTGATGATGTTGTTGATGATGATGATGACGACGACGAGGATGATGTTTATGATGATGGTGATGATGATGCAGATCATGCTGATGACGATGACTGTGTTGATGGTGGTGGTGGCGATGGTAAAAGTGATGAGATCACAGGCGATGGTGATGGTGGTGATGCCGACGACGAGGATGGTGCTGACGATGATGATGATGATGCTGATGATGATGATGATGATGAAGAAAGGGTGATGATGCTGCTGATGATGATGGTCATGATGGTGATGATGACGATGCTGAGGATGATGCTGATGATGCTGATGATGATGATGATGCTGACGACAATGATGCTGATGACGATCATGATGCTGCTGATGATGATGCTGCTGCTGATGGTGATGATGCTGATGATGCCGATGACGATGCTGAGGCCGATGCTGATGATGATGTTGATGATGATGATGCTGATGCTGCTGATGATGATGATGATGAGAATGATGATGATGCTGCTGATGATGATGCTTGTGATGGTGATGGTGATAATGATGATCCTGATGATGATGGTGATGATGATGAAGTAGATGATGCTGATGAAGATGATGCTGATGCTGATGATGACGACGACGACGACGATGTTGATGATGATGATGATGATGATGATGATGATGATGATGATGCTGATGATGATGATGATGATGATGATAATGATGATGATGCTGATGCTGATGATGATGATGATGATGATGATGATGATGATGCCGATAATGATGCTGATGTTGATGATGATGCTGATGATGAGGATGCTGATTGTGACGGCAATTGTGATGATGTGGATGAGGATAATGTTGCTGCTGCTGTTGATGACGCTGATGCTGATGCTGTTGCTGATGCTGATGATACTGATGCTGATGCTTATGCTGCTGATGATGATGCTGATGCTGCTGTTGATGCTGACGATGATGATGATGATGATGATGATGATGATGATGATGATGATGATGATGATGATGATGATGATGATGATGATGATGATGATGATGATGATGATGATGATGGATGGTGATGAAGAGGACAAGGAGGAGGAGGAGGAGGAGGGGGAGAAGGATGAGGAGGGGGAAAGAGGATGATGTGGGAAAGGATAGGGAGAGTTGGAGGGGAGAGAAGGAAGATCAGTGGAAAGAGCGCGTAGGATCTTTCAGTGATGTTTGAGGGCTTCTCTGAGAGGATTCTCAAGGATGGGGTTGACGAGAGGGAGGCGGGAGAGGAAGGGGAGGGGAGGGAGGGAGGGAGGAGGAGGAGAGAGGAGACAGGTGGAGGGGGTAGATGGGGAGGAGGGGGATCCTGAATACTGAAGCTCCGATGAGGATGCGGCGCACGCCAGTTCACGCCAGCAGATCATGGCCCTGGCGCGAGCACAACCCTGCACAGCATACGGCGACTTTGCCCAGTCAAGCCTGACGTGCAACTGCTTGCTCTTTCAGGGGAATTCTCCCAGCGAGGGCAGCCATCCTGGTTTCATTGGACGGTGGGCCCTCGGACTGGAGAGCTCTAGAAACTCTGGTGGTCTCGAGCTCGGGGCGCTTCACGGCACGACACACACAGCTGAGCAGGGAGAGCGATATCGATTTGGCGGACGAGCCTCCTATGTGGGCCCCCCCCCCCGGCGGAAATCAGACGAAACTTCGAGCCTTTTCCTGGTGGGGGTCTCGCACAACCGTCTTGCTTGATTTCGCCCGGACTGCTGAGCCCAGGCGCCACACTTGCGACCCACACACACACACACACACACACACACACACACACACACACACACACACACACACACACACACACACACACACACACACACACACACACACACACACACACACACACACACACACACACACACACACACACACACACACACACACACACACACACACACACACACACAACACACACAGAACACACACACACACGCGCAGCCCAAACACAACACACACACACACACAACACACA